ATCTCTCCGGCCCCTCAGTTGGGATGCTTCTCATGAACTTGCCCCCATACTAATTGAAAAGCCCTGTTATACACAATCCTTCTAAGATCATGTTAGTAACCACGTTAACTAACATTACTAAACATTATTTTACCTAGTGTGACTTATAAATATGTGGACAAACTTATTGTATTGTTGTGTGAATATATGCTAAGGCATACATAGACACACGTAGATATTTATGAGCATGCAGTCTGATGCACACACTCGCACGCACTCACACACACACACACACACACACACACACACACACACACACACACACACACACACACACACACACACACACACACACACACACACACACACACACTCACACACTCACACACTCACACACTCACACACTCACACACACACACACAAACAGTGACAGAAGGTAAGGATATCTGATCTGATATAGACTGAGACATTAGCATGCAGTGCTGAAGGTAATCTCAGTCAGTCTACTGAGCAGATTACATTTAAAGACCCTCACACACACACACACACACACACACACACACACACACATACAGAGAGAGTCATTAGGGAAATGTTTGAATGTTTGTGTTCGTCATATGAATGAACAAATGTATCAACTCAATTGTATTTTAATACCCAGTGGACTTCCAAATATCCTTTGTATCTGACTATTATTTCACGCAGAACAGTCATCAAATAATAGCCGACGTCTGTTCTTTTGTGTGGGGTAAATATAGTACAGATGCATGTTCTCTCTCTAGAGGTTTTGTTCTTGGTCAAGTGTATTCGCGTGGATGTGTGTGTGTGTGTGTTATCAAGCAGAAGAGGATTTGGCTGTTATACACGGTTTAAAATATTTCAGGACCCCCTGCTACTGTGTGGCCCTTGAGCTCCAGAGGAGGGAGCAGATGGCTGCTTCTGGCCCAGGGCGGGGAGCTCAGACCTGGGGAGCGAGTGCTGGCACAGACCTGATCCAGAGCTGTTTGCTAAACTGAGACATCGAGTGATCCGGGTGCCTGACAGACTTTATCAGCTGGCCACAGAGAACTGATGATATCCAGAGAGACAGCCACACGTCCACAACGGACAACCACAAACACACGATTAACTGGGTGTTTACATGCAGTTCTGTGACACAATCATAACAAACTGCAAAAAGAGACCAATATTCAGCAATCCAGTTACAATAATATCAAATTACAGTGAATATATAACAATTTTTAATAATATATAAAAAAATTATTTTACTTAAAATAAACACATACTCATATTACATGAGAGAAAAAAGAGAGTTTTAAAATGTTTAAGTTTTAAAATTAATAATCACATGACACTAAAGACCAACCCAGGCTCATTCTGAAAACGTAGTCCAGCGGACGTTTCTGGAAACCGCGAAATATGTCCCGGGAGGTACGTATGGCTGCATTTCATTTTTTAAGTGAACGCTACGGGGCGGTGTGACGCCGTTCCCTTTCGCGCTTGCCGGCTCACCGCTTATCGGCTTTCCCGCTGCAGTCAGTTTGTCCGGTTAGCTCAATGTGTGTGTCAGCGGACTTCAGATGCAGAGAGGAGGAGTTGACAAAGGAGTCCGGGTTCGAGTCCGGGGAAGAGCGGTTCCAGAAACCAGGTAAGACAAAAACAGAATCCAAAAAATAAAGTGAACGAGTTCATAACAGGGTGAGAACGCGGTGAAATCCAAAAACGTGGTTAAAAAAAAAACCAGACGACGGCTTTTCTTTTTCTAGACGGCTTTTCTAAATTGTTGCTCGGATTTAGGGAAGTGAGCGGGTGGGCGGGTCAATCGGTAAAGCTGGTTGGGTTCAGGGAAGGAGGAGGGCGGGTCAGCCTGTCGCGCAGTCAATCATTCGGTCAGTCAGACAGCGGCCTCTGGTGGGTTGACGCGAGAACAGCGCGGGCGAAATGGCACTCGCTAGAGACGTTCGAGATACGAAAAAGCGCAAACAGTGGCCTCTCGCGCATTCGCGAAAACAAAAACTGCACAAATACGTACCTCCCGGGACGTATTTCGCGGTCTCCAGAAACGTCTGCTGGACTACGTTTTCAGAATGAGCCTGGGTTGCTAAAGACTGTCTGCACTTTGTGCATCCAGACATTAGTTTGATCTTGAACTTGTAGGTGCCACAGAACAAAAACCATACCTGACAAAAGTCTTGTTGTCGATCTCAGTTGTAAGAGCAACAAACAATAACTTGACTTATAGTTAATCATTTGGAAAAGTGTCAGAAGGTAGATTTTTCCCATGAATCATCTGTTGAACTGCATCCCAATCATTACAAATACTGCAGAAGACCTATTGAAACCAGCATCGACTCTTACAGATTCTCACAGAAATCAGTCAAGTTTGGTAAAGGAAAAATCATGGTTTGGGGTTACATTCAGTATTGGGGCATGTAAGAGATCTGCAGAGTGGATGGAAACATCAACAGCCTGAGGTATCAAGACATTTGTGCTGCCCATTACATTACCAACCATAGGAAAGGGCAAGTTCTTTAGCAGGATAGATTCTTTTTCCACTGCAGCATGACTTTATATCCTATACTGTACATTAGTTCTGTTAAGTGACAAGACTTTTGTCTGAGAAAAGTCAGATATTACTGTCCAAATTAAATAATAAAAGATCAAGGTATGATCATATTTTATTTTGGTGAAATAAGCTTAATCAAGAGGGCTTTGCCTTTCATAAGCCACTTCTGATACCAAATGATCAACTAGAAGTCAAATTATTATTTGTTGTTCCTAAAACTTGGATAGGCGACAAGACTTTTGTCAGGTAGTGTATACCTAAGCATAGCTGAATAATAAGAGTTCAGCACAAGGAAATGGCATACTGTCTCAAACGCCATCGTTTCCGCACTCTCATGTAAATCTTGTGATTGTAAAATCCCGAAAAACAGACCAATTGGAACAAAACACCTACTCTGATGATCCACATGAGATGATTCATTTGCATGCCCCCTGCAGCATTTGACTGACCACAAAGCTTCCCAGTGAGATTACAACAATGATATTTCCCTTATTTTTAAGTTGATCTAAGCTTGTACTATGCACGTGGGACTCCTACTTTGAAAATGGGAAAGGCAGGGAGACTAAAGGAGCAGTTCAGTGAAATATTTCACCTGTTTACTGCTCATCTGACTGCAAAATGCAGCATATACAGATCAATTTATTATACAGATTTATTATACTGTATTTATTATACAGATATCAATTTATTCAGTGCCAATGTCTGTTTAAATGTGTCTTTTGTTAGTTTAACATGTGAATTGTGAAATTTGCAGAGAAGGTTTGTAACGAGGCAATAGACACACTTGAACTGCTTCATGCACGACTACATCGTGTCGTATCACTCAGTATCTATCTATCTATCTATCTATCTATCTATCTATCTATCTATCTATCTATCTATCTATCTATCTATCTATCTATCTATCTATCTATCTATCTATCTATCTATCTATCTATCTATCTATCTATCTATCTATCTATCTATCTATGCCTCCATATATTCTATCTATGCCTCCATATATTCTATCTATCTATCTATCTATCTATCTATCTATCTATCTATCTATCTATCTATCTATCTATCTATCTATCTATCTATCTATCTATCTATCTATCTATCTATCTATCTATCTATCTATCTATCTATCTATCTATCTATCTATCTATCTATCTATCTATCTATGCCTCCATATATTCTATCTATCTATCTATCTATCTATCTATCTATCTATCTATCTATCTATCTATCTATCTATCTATCTATCTATCTATCTATCTATCTATCTATCTATCTATCTATCTATCTATCTATCTATCTATCTATCTATCTATCTATCTATCTATCTATCTATCTATCCATCCATCCATCCATCCATCCATCCATCCATCCATCCATCCATCCATCCATCCATCCATCCATCCATCCATCCATCTATCTATCTATCTATCTATCTATCTATCTATCTATCTATCTATCTATCTATCTATCTATCTCAAAAATAACTGACCACTATTAGTACTCAAAGATGGTATGATGTTTCCCCTTTTTCCTTTACCTTCATCTATTTGTTTATTTATTTAATTTTTAGTAACATTTATTACTATTTATTGTTATTTTGCTCTTTAAAAATGTTGTATTTATTTATTTGGTAAACGATTAGTTAACTTATTTGCTATTATTGTTTATGATTTGCTTTTGTAGTACATTTGGACAATAACCCAGACACATTCTTTGTAAAACTGATTATATTTCTGGAAGCACATTGTACAATCATCCTGATAACTTTAAATAAACATGTCCAAAATAAATAAATACAAATTAAAAACAGATTAAAAACAGGCCAACGCACCTGCACTTTGCAATTAAAAGAGCAAAGAAATCCCATTAGCAATATATTTTGTTAACGAAAACGTTGTGCAAATGTATCATCTTGTAATCCTGAACCCAACATCATTTATCCTCGTGTCGCAGTCACACACTAATATAGTTTAAGCCACATTCACTCCGTGAGGCCATAGCAACAGGGTCTCAGCAGGCGTTTCATAGCACTACCATCACTTTAGAGATGCCCTGAGGGAAGAATGCGGCCTCTCTCTATCTTACTTACTGTCACCAGAGACACACACACACACACCTAACCGGTTTTTATTCCGCCCCTCAGGCCCAAGGGATGGCAAAGGCCCCAGAGTGATACACTACCAGCTACAAGATCCAAATGGAAACAAACACACACCAACGTGCACTTAAACACACACACACATACTCCAAACTCTAAAGCAATAAAAACAGACCAAGTGTTTAAGAGTGTCACGTCAGGTTAAAGCCATCCGTCTGTGTGATTCAATCAGAGAATCGCTAGCGTATCTATCAGAGAGCGGCTCAGGAAATCAGCGATTCATCCGGAGAGTCGCTAGTCAGTTGTTTTTGTGTGAGTGATTCAGTGAGCGTGTCAGTGCCGATGAGCATCTCTCACCTCCAGTAAACCAGGACGGCCAGCAGCAGAATCAGGCAGAGGAAAGTGAGCGCCGACACCACCACCAGAGGAATAATCCACTCCATCCGTCCGGCAGCAGGCCCAGGGTACATGCTGGAGACGACAGTGCGCTCTGAGACACACACACACACAAACACGCACGTTACTATGAACACACTGTACATACTGTAAACACAGGCAGCGTTTCAAAACATGCTGCACTGAAAACATGACAGCCACATTCAAATGAGATAACACAACAGCACATACTGATAGCTGCTGTAGAAAAAAACATTTTAGTTTAAGTACCAATTCTCACTATTAACTAGTGGCTTATTATTACAGTAGCTGCATATTATTAAGATATATTTATTTGCAGCTGTTTAATGGCTACTATACATACATAAGCATACATAATATCTAAACCTAACTACTAAACCTAAACTAAATACTAATAAGCAGCAAATTAAGAGTCTGAGGGACAAGTCTTAGTTAATGGTTTATTAATAGCAATTATACTTTAAAAATAAAGTGTGTTTGAAATTCTATATATATGCACAATACATAATAATAATAATACTGTTCCCATAATATCATAGCAATTAATAAATAATGGTTATTTATAAAATAATGATGTTAATAATAAATAAAACATATAATAATAATAATAATAATAATAATAATATTGGTAATAATAATAATAATAGTTATAATAATAAGTAGAATAATAAGAATAAAATAAAATAAGAATAATAATACCTGTAATAATAATAATATTAATAATGATAATAGTAATAATAATAAAAATAATAATAGTAATAATAATAAAAGGGGCAGCACGGTGGTGCAGTGGGTAGCACAATCGCCTCACAGCAAGAAGGTCGATGTTTCAAGCCCCGGCCGGGTCAGCTGGCATTTCTGTGTGGAGTTTGCATGTTCTCTTCCGGGTGCTCCGGTTTCCCTCACAGTCCAAAGACATGTGGTATAGGTGAACTTGGTGTATGAGTGTATGGATGTTTCCCAGTGATGGGTTGCAGCTGGGGGGCATCTGCTGCGCAAAATATATGCTGGATAAGTTGGTGGTTCATCCCGGTGTGGCGACCCCAGATTAATAAATGGACTAAGTTGAAAAGAAAACGAATGAATAGTAATAATAATAATAATAATAATAATAATAATAATAATAATGATAATGATAATAATACCTGAAATAATAATATTAATAATAATAAAAAATAATAATAATACCTGAAATAATAATAATGATAACAATAATAATAATTATAATAATAATAATAATAATACCTGAAATAATAATAATAATAATAATAACAATAATATTAATAATAATAATAAATATTATAAAAATTATAATAATAATACCTGAAATAATAGTAATAGTAACAGTAATAATTATACTTGAAATAACACTAATAATACCTGTCATAATAATAATAATAATAATAATAATAATAACACAAAAAATCATAATATATGAAATAATAATATTAATAATAGGCAACGAAGTGGCGCAGTAGGTAGTGCTGTCGCCTCACACCAAGAAGGTCGCTGGTTCGAGCCTCAGCTGGGTCAGTTGGCGTTTCTGTGTGGAGTTTGCATGTTCTCCATGCATTTGTGTGGGTTTCATCCGGGTGCTTTGGTTTCCCCCACAGTCCAAAGACATGCGGTACAGGTGAATTAGGCTAAATTGTCTATAGAGTATGAGTGTGAGTGAATGTGAATGGGTGTTTCCCAGAGATGAGTTGCAGCAGGAAGGGCATCCGCTGCGTTAAACATGTGCTGAATAAGTTGGCGGTTCATTCTGCTGTGGCGACCCCAGATTAATAAAGGGACTAAGCCAAAAAGAAAATGAATGAATAATAATAATAATATTAATAATAATAATAATAATAATAATATATTCAAAATATAACATTCAATCTAATTAGAAAATCAAACTGCAGAATTTAATCCAACAATCAAATTAATTCATTATTAAGCATTCATAATTAATGCTAAATTAATGCTAACAGTATGCTAAAAACATGACAGGGACAGTTTCAGATACCGTTATTTTGCCCAGACGCAATTCTTCATTAATTTTACATATCATAGATTAATAGGTACAATAGAATGTGAAAATTCCTGTCAAAAGTTGTTTAATTCTGACAATAATATAAATTCAGAGAGAGAAATTATGCTTTTTTATGAATTCTGGAAGAGAGCAAAACCCTATTCTAAGCTGAACTCCCCAATATCTGATTGGTTGACAGGAACACTGATCCAGGACCAACTCGGATGTTGATTCAGGAACACGTGTCACCTGGCAAGAGCACAGTCACCCTACTAGTCTACAAATAAACACAAAACACAACACACATACATACACACGCACGCACTCACACAAACACGCACACACACAGAGCTAAATATGGAGTGTGTCTGTTTCTCTCTCTGTGTGTTTATTGTGAACTCCCTGCAGCTGAAAATGTTTTCTGCTCTCATCCTCCCTGGACCGGAAAACTAGGCCAACCCTCTGCCTCCCAAACACAGAAGGGACGGCAGGAAAGATGGAAGGATGAGAAAGGAGGGATGACGAAGAGGAAGAAACAAAAAGAAACTAAAGGACAAAGAAATGAGAGAAATGATACAGAGGATACACAAACACAAGCTGAAAAGAACAATGTTTAGTGAGAAGAGGACAAGAGTTTAATGTCATCTGCAGAAAAGATGAGTGGAGATACGCATGCAACACTGGAGGGAGGAGAAAAGGGTTGTCAGTGCGTTGCTATGTGGTTGCTAGAGTGATGAAGGGAGGCTGGCTTTAGGCTCTTCATTTGAATAAAAAAGGCAGCAGTGAAACTCTCCAGTTAAAGGGATGGAATAAAATCCTTACTTTTAAAACATTCTGCTTGCTTATTTACTTACTCTTTTATTTAGTTATCATTTCAGTCATTCATTTTCTTTTTGGCTTAGTTTCTTTATTAATCTGGGGTCGCCACAGAGGAATGAACCGCCAACTTATCCAGCACATGTTCGTCGCAGTGGATTACTGGGAAACATCCATACACGCCCATTCACATACATACACTACAGACAATTTTAGCCTACCCAGTTCACCTGTACCACATGTCTTTGGACTGTGGGGGAAACCGGAGCACCCAGAGCACCCAGGGTAAGTTGGCATTTCTGTGTGGAGTTTGCATGTTCTCCCCGAATTCACGAGAGTTTCCTCCGGGTGCTCCTGTTTCCCCCACAGTCCAAAGAGGTGAATTGGAAGCTAAATTGTCTGCAGTGTTTGTGTGTGAATGAGAGTGTATGGGTGTTTCCCAGTGATGGGTTGCAGCTGGAAGGGCCTTCGCTGCATAAAACATATGTTGGATAAGTTGGCGGTTCATTCCGCTGTGGTGACCCCGAATTAATAACAGGACTAAGCTGAAAAGAAAATGAATGAATAAATAATTATGTAATCAAAATGTATATATTTTTAACACCAATAAATTAATTAGAAATATAATTTGAAATACTAATAATTATGTAATTGTGTAAAACTGTAAAATATTGTAATGGTCAAAGCCGGGAGTAAAATATGTTGTTAATATGTTGTTACCCTTCCTTTTCAAGTCTTAAGTCTTGATTTTTTTATATTTATCTATTATTATATTAATTTATTATATATATATTATAATTTTGTTATATAATTTATGATTAACTAGTTAATCAGAATTTTTATATTTAAGTATATTCACAAATAACATTTAGTTTAAAATACCAATAAACTAATTTAAATAAAAGGGGTAATGTTTTTAAATAATTTAATTATTTTCATTTATAATTAACTAATTATTCAGATTGTTTTATATTTTATTATATTAATACATAACATTTAGTTTCAAATACCAATACATTTTATAATATCATTTATAATTGACTAATTAATCAGAATTTATATTCTTTACATATATAACTTTTAGTTCAAAATGCCTACAATTAATTTACGGTATATTTAAAATACCAATAATTATACCAAGCTCTAAAATATTGTAATGAAGCTGTGAGTAAATTATGTTGTTTATAACCCTTTCCCTTAATCATGTCTTAACATTTAAAAAAAATATTTCTTATTATTTTTACATTTTTAGTTTATTATATAATTTATAATTAACATATTAATCAGAATCGATATGTTTTTAACACCTAACTTTTAGTTTAAAATAACAATAAATCAATTTAAGCAAGAGTTCATTTAAGTTGAGTAAATTAATTTGTTTCTAACCTTTTCCCCTAAATCATGTCTTTCAATTTTATTTATTTATTTTTTATTTTAATATATATATATATATATATATATATATATATATATATATATATATATATATATATATATATATATATATATATAATATAATTTATAATTAATTAATTAATTAATCAGAGATTATATATTCTTAACACTAATAACTTTTAGTTTTAAAATACCAATAAAAATAAAATATATTTTCAAAATACCAATAATTGTGCAAATAATGTATTGAGCAAAGCTGTGAGTAAAAGATGTAAATAACCCCTTCCCCTTAATCATGAACAACTAAACAAATAGTCCTTCTACCAAAAAGCTTGCTGCATGAATGTGGACTACAGCAACAGATGCAGATTTCTGACCTGTGTGTATGGAGAAAGGAGGCAGGTGATTGCGGTCTCCTCTGTTGTCTTTACTGCTCTGCTCTGTGTTTTCTGGAGTCTCTATCACTGCCGTCACGTTCTCCTCCACCTCCGGCTCTCTGCTCGCCATCACCTGCGTGTTCTCTTCTCCCAGTCCCTGTGTGTTTTCCTCAGAGACTCTAGATGGCGCTGTGCTGTTTTCTGTTCTCCTGCGTCCTCCTTTCTCTTTGGCTGTGGAATCGGGTACTGCTGTTGGAGGATCTTTGGAGACGGAGCTGTTGGTCTGCTTTTCCACATCGTCAGGAGCTCTGCTGTCTTTACTCTCTCCACCTTTTTCCTCATCCTCATCTTCTTCTTCTTCTCCGTTCTTTTCTCCATCCTCATCCTCACCCTTCCCGCCCTTCTCTCCTCCGTCATCAGACCTGTCATACATAAGTCTTAATATTAAACAGCGGATAAAAATTTTTCTTGGTACATTTTTTTAAAGGGGACCTATTATGCCCTTTTTTACAAGACGTAAACTAAGTCTCTAGAGTATAGAGATTTATGAATATATCAGCAATATCACAGGAGTAGCAGTGTGGTATGGCTGTAAATCAGCACTGGTGGGAGGCGTGCGTTAGCACGAGTGGCCACCAGTGCTGATATACAGCCATAGCACACTGCTACGAGCAGGCCCGGAGCAAGCTGAACTGCCGCTCTAGGCAGAGGACGATTACGCCGTCCTCAACCACAATGCAGTGGCGCAAAAAGGGGGTATGCAGTATATGCGGCGCATAGGGGCGCCACACATGGGGGGGCGCCATTGTGCCAAAACTATTTTTTAAATTATCCTTACTAAAAGTTTCAAATTAAAAAAAAAAATAAATAAATAAATATGTTTTGTTAAAAATGTTTTTTTTTTGCATTTTGTATGAGTATAATATTGTATTTTAATAAATAAAAAATTATACCATGAGTTGCATACGTTGGCACACACATTTTAATTCAAAATCAACACAATAACATGCAGTCGCAGAGCCAAGTGTAAAGTGTTCATGTAAATGTAACTTTAGATTTTTTTTTTACAATTTTTATCAAAATAAAACTGTCAAATCATACATACAGTACAGTTGAGGTCAAAAGTTATAAGATTAATCTGAAGTTTTTCTTTATTTATTATTAATTATTTAATTATTTTGCCTAAATAAGAGGGATCACACAAAATGTATGTTTATGTAAGTACAGACCTATTTCACATAAACCGATATTTATAATATAATAATTTATAATAAAGTTCTGATATTGCAGAATATTGCACAGGTATCAGCCAATCAGATTTAAGAACCAGACAGAACTGTTGTGTATATATATATATATAATAAAATAATCGTGATTAGCATTTTTTCTGTGATCGTGCAGCCCTAAACTGTTATGTGTTAAAACACTGGAGTGACAGAAGGAGGAATGACCTGTCGTTGTCAGTGGCTGTGGTGGTGTCTGCGTCAGAGGCCTGTTCTGCAGTGGTCACCACAGGTTTGGCTGGGCTCTGGTGGGTGGAGGCTGGAGCAGGGCTGGAGGGTGGTGGTCTGGTGGGCCACACGGAGCTAGGGAAGGAGGAGATGACGCCTCCGCTGAAGCCCAGTCCTGCCAGGAGTGTACTGGTCACCACGGATGCCACGGTGGCCTGGCTGCCACTGGAGGATGGGCCGATTCCGGTGGCCATCGAAACAAAGGAGAAGGGAAGACCGGAGGAGGTCCATGTGGAGGAGCCGGAGCTGATGGGGGCCATGTCTGCTGACGATGCAGGAGAAACTGTTGGCTAAAAGTTAAAAAACAAAATAAAAACATGAGTCTATTAGTGAATTACTGTATACATGAAATATTTTAAAAAATATGCATATGCATAAATAATGTCATTTTTTTATTATTTGAAAAGTATTATACAAATGCATTTCTGTAATTTCCATAAAAATAATAAAAATATATTTAAATAATGTAATTCCTGAATATATTTAAACACTTCAAATGCATTACTTTTATACAAATGATCACATAACTAATGATTAAATACAAATATTTCTAAAATTTAAAAGAAAAATTAAAGCTGTTCTAAACTATCTAAAGTTTGTACATCATATGAAAAAAATAGAAGTATTACACGTTTTCTTTATTGAACTTAGAATATCAAGGTAAAGCAAATAATATATATAATTTAAATAATATTTTTGCAATATTTATTTTTATTTAAGTAAACAATTAAGTAAATAAATACACATATATATTTAAAACAAATAATACTTATTTAAATATTTGATTTACTTACAGATATTAAAATGATGATATCATTGATATATTTCTTTTGTATATTATTATAATACTTATAATAATAATGATAATAATAATAATTATTATTATTATAATTAGTAGTAGTAGTATCATCATTTGTATTAATGATTATTTATAATAATAATAGTAATAATAATAATAATAATCAAATTAAAATGCAATAATTTTTATAATAAAATAAAAAAAATACTTTTTAATAAAGTAAACAAATACAAAATTATATATTTAAAGAGGATATTACCCTTAATGATGATGATGATGTTTATTATTATAATTATAATTATTTGTATCACTGAGATAATTAATAACATAATTCAAAATAAATCAGTCAGGTTTATTTTATGCAGAATGTAAAGAAGCAGTGCTGCCACCTGCTGGACAGATGTAAACTTACCATCCCAGTTTTTACTATCCTCGTTCCCTCAAATATTCTGGTGGTGTTGGCTATCAAAACAAACAATATTAAAATAAACAATTGAAAAAAAAAGCTTCAATAAGTAAAAACATCATTCATAAATGATGTGTATCCCAGTACCTCTGAAGAGCATACTCTGACTGAAGTCACTGCGCTTGTCATTCAAACACACCGCCTGCACACGAAACAGGTACAGAACATCCGGCGACACCGGCGTGATAACCGCCTCCTGAAACACACACAAAGAAAGAAACATACACTGTGTCAGAAAAACATGCTTCCGATATGGCAGTGTGTGATGTGGAGGTGTGCTTTTATCTGACGCGTCCAGTCAAAACAGTGGAGAAGAAGAGAGTCTGAGGTGTGATTTCTCCTGACAGAGGTCTGCAGGATGAAGGTGAACAGCTTGTTCTCTTCCTCATTTGACGCTTACACCTTCTTTCACAAGTCATTAGCATTGAAAATAGACAGTCTCTATCAGCCGCATAACATTCATTACCACCTGAAGCACCTCGGAGCTGCTCAGCTGGGACACAGACACTGGAATTTACGCTGGTTCATTTAAAAAGACTTTTTATATAACATCTGTCTTTATCAGTGAATTATGCAACCCCGTCACGTTCTTTCCGAGAACATATTTACATAATGTATGCTTTTTGTTCGCGTAAATTGTATTTCAAACAGATTACATCACTCTAAATGTAAAGGGAGTTTTGATTTACTCGTGTTTCGTCAGTAGCATTTGCTTTTATTAGGGTCAAGTTGGTTTTATATTCGCACATTTGGACTTTCACCTTAATATAATATAATATAATATAATATAATATAATATAATATAATATAATATAATATAATATAATATAATATAATGAATTATAATATAATATTTAGAGGTCACCACAGCGGAATTAATCTCCAACTATTCCACCATAAAGTTGCAATCAGAATTATCAAACCACCTGAATTATTAGCCCCCCTGTTTATTTCCCCCCCTATTTCTGTTTAACGGTTTCAACACATTTCTTTCTTTTTTCTTTTTTTTTTTTGACAAAAGGTACAGTACATTAAAGGTATTCAATGACAAAGGTATTTTCGTTTTTTTTTTTAACCATACATAAATTTGAAACAGAGACAAATTAACATAATAAAAATTTTAAGAAAAGGAAATGCATTAAATAAAAAATATATATTAATAATGATAAAAATGAATATAAAAATCAATTTACAAAAAAATAAATAAATAAATAATAAATAAATTAATTAAATAAATAAAAAATAAAAAATATAAAAATATATATAATTAAAAAAAAGGGTGGGTGGGGGGTGGCGTTGGGAATTTATGGTTGGAGGAGTACATTAGTCTCAATATGAATTATTAGAAGGTCCCATGTTTTGAAAAATGTTTTGGTTGATTCTCTGAGAAAATATTTAATTTTTTCTGTTTTCAAAAATAGCATTACATCACTAAGCCAAAGTGACAGTTTAGGTGGCATTAGTTTCAACACATTTCTAATCATAATAGTTTACATAACTCATTTTTAATCACTGATATATTTTATCTTTGCCATTACAGTAAATAATATTTGACTTGCAAGACACTTCTATACAGCTTGAATGGGCTAATAATTTTGACCTTAAAATTGTGTTTAAAAAAATTAAAACTGCTTTTATTCTAGTCGAAATAAAAGAAATAAGACTTTCTCCAGAAGAAAAAAATATTATCAGACATACTGCGAAAATTTCCTTGCTCTGGTAAACATAATTTGGAAAATATATATATAAAGAAAAAAATTCAAAGGGGGGCTAATAAATCTGATTGCAACCGTATGTTTTTCTGCAGCGCATGCCCTTCCACCCACAACCTGTCCTAATTAAATAATTAAAAATCAAGGCATGATCATATTTTATTTTAGTAAAATAAGCATAATCTAGAGGCCTTTGCCTAAGCCACTTCTGACACCAAATGATCAACTAGAAGTCAGTTATTACTTGATGTTCCTGACACTTGGATAGGCATCAAGACTTTTGTCAGGTAGTGTATTCACTTCCAGATGTTTATACACCAGGTCTAGTGAGGTCAGTGTCGCATCCTTCACCCCTCTTGTTTCAGTTAGAGACAAATTAATTAAATGTTTTTGATCAAATCTTGTTCTTCACACTTTCAAAAAAGATTTTCAGTGAAAAGATACAGTAAAATGTTTGTATGTTGTCACGATCTAACCACCATAAATCGCTGGAAAACATTAACATTCACACAAACTACAATCCCGCCTCAATATGAACTACATATTCAGTCATGCAACACACACACACACCTGCTCCAAGTCACCATTGATTGCAAACACTCACACAGCTGAAGCTGCTCATAGACTAATTACTTGGACTATAAAGACCGCACACACAAACATACATTGTTGCTGAGTCTTGTATCCTGAATGTGACGCGGTTTCTCTTGCCTTGCTTTCCGTGTTAGACCTTGCTTTGTTTGTTTGTTTGTTTTGCCCCTGCCTGTTATTTCGACTTTGACTCTGGATTGCCCATACACATCTGTTTGTTACTGTATTGAGCACTGCTTGCCTGACCTTTCTGTTTAATAAAGACCAGCATAAGGATCCTCATCCCTGTTGTCAGCGTCTACTTCACGTTACAAATGTAAAGTTTTAATACCTTGTTTTTAAATAATGATAAGGCATGAAATCACACACATTTCTTCAGGGTGAAAGGGGTTAAAAAATTAGACTAATTATTTTCAGCTGCTAATAAGAATGTAATAATCTCAGCTCCTTTGGATACATCTTAAAATATGTAAATCACCTTTTTTAATTAAGCTGGTTGATTTATTATCTTGTTTTTTTCTATGTAAATTAATTTCTGGAAGATGAATTACACACGTCAGTTCAGATGATTGTGGTTTTTCTAAAGTCTTCCATGCACACCAAGGCAGTGTTTCTTTTATTAAAAACACAGTAAAAACTATAACAACATACAAAAGTGTTGAGGCTGTGCTGAATTTCTAGCAGTGATCGCTTTAGTCTTCAGTGTACAGTTGAAGTCAGAATTATTAGCCCACGTTTGATTTTTGTTCTTTTTTAAATATTTTCCAAATGATGTTTAACAGAGTAAGGAAATTTTCGCAGTATGTCTGATAATATTCTTTCTTCTGGAGAAAGTCTTATTTGTTTTAATTCGACTAGAATAAAAGCAGTTTTTAATTTTTAAACAACATTTTAAGGACAAAATTATTAGCCCCTTTTAGCAAATTTTTTTTCCGATTGTCTACAGGACAAACCATCGTTATACAATAACTTGCCTAATTACCCTAACCTGCCTAGCTAACCTAATTAACCTAGTTAAGCCTTTAAATGTCACTTTAAGCTGTATAGAAGTGTCTTGAAAAATATCTAGTCAAATATTATGTACTGTCATCATGGCAAAGATAGAATAAATCAGTTAATAGAAATGAGTTATTAAAAACATTTAGAAATTATATAGTTTTAAAAACTTTTAATTATGTTTACAAATGTGTTGAAAGAAATCTTCTCTCCGTCAAACAGAAATTATACAGGGCGATAATAAAAATAAAAAGGGGGGCTAATAATGATTCTGACTTCAACTGTATATGATCATTCCAATATGATCAAAAATATTCAAGCATCGTGCTGCTTAATATTTCTGTGTGAAAATTGTAATATACGTTAGCACCATTTATTTATGATGAAGATACATTGTAATGTAAGTCTTTACAGTCACTTGTGATCAATTTACGTAGCATTTATCTTCATTTGAGTACAAAACGATTGTTCAGACTGACCATATTTGATATGATCATTAGAAGATTTGCACATATCCGAGTAGAAATATACATTAAGGTTGCTCAATAACATCTGACACCTTGAGAAACAAACTCTGATGGTCATTTATGGTCATTGTTTTTAACTACATTTGACTTTTCTGGTGCCTTTTTGCCTGAAAGCTCTCTGTCTGAAGCCCACAGCCTCATTTCATCCCTGAGAAATGAAGATTCAATACAATTCTAAGTGTATGAGCAATAGCCATTAGCATAACTCACTTCACCTCCCCCGGGGTCTGCTGAAAAGTGCTGAGGGCTTGAGGGATTTGTAAATCTTGCACTAAGTAAATGGCGTCAGTTCCCCTCCACACCAACACCTTTCTGATTTATACCAGTTTGACCCGAATTCATTCGGTAAAAGAGCTCAACTCAAATATTTCTCTATTGCGTTGGGTTTTTATAAATGAAAAGCTGTAAAAAAAAAAAAACTCCTTCTCTATTGATCTAAGTACATGGTTCCTGCTCTAAGCCAAATGTCTATGACTTTTCCCTGACTAACAGGCTGAAGTTTTATGATTTTTGTGACCAAAATAGTGACAAAAATATCCGTAAGCTAACAGTTTTCTGTATTTTGTGATTGATGTTTGCTTTCATTTATTTATGCTTTTGAAATGCATTGTGGGATTTTAATCGTCAAGAACCAATATGTGTAATTTTGTGTATATTTTCACAGATAAAAACAAGAAATTATGTAAATATTGCCACACATTTTAATAAAATCACCTTCAAGATCAGCTATTTTAGGCTGCAAAAATCATGAAATATTGCACAAACTCTAGGAGGAACTGGTTGAGCACTGAGCAGACAAAACAACAGGCACAGACAGTGTTTTAATAGGTACAGCCAGGTAAATGCATTTGATTATCTGATGCCTTGAGGGAAAAGGTGTAAAATGGCAGTTAAAAATATCCTAACCATATTAATAGACAAAACACGTGAAACAAATTATAAAAAATGCTATATATCAAATAGTAGACAAGTCAAACTTAAGATGACAAACAAAAAATCCCTGATATTCCCGGATGGACAAAACAAATATCAAATTTCAATATCTGGAATAGAACTTTTCAAATGTCATGATATACTAGAAAATTCCATGACCCATAGAAACCCTGGAAGTAATCCATCTAAAATTAAGTCGGGCTGCTTAATTGACCCACATAGTAGCATCTTTGGATAAAAGGGGACATATGAATGCGACTTAAATGGATAGTTCACACCAAGCTACCTCATTTACTCTCCTTTAAACCTTCATGAGTGTCGTTCTTCTGTTAAATACAACAGAAGATGTTTTAGGAATGCTGGTAGGTAGCTAAAAATACTATAGAAGTCAACACTGCCAGCATTCTTCAAAATATCTTCTTTTGTGTTCAACAGAAGAAAGAAACTCAAATAGGTTTTGAACAAGTGAGAAGTGAGTAAATGATGACAAGATTAAATTTTTTGGGTGAACTAACCCTTTAAAAGAAAAGTAAAAGGGAGGAACAAAAAGAAAAAAGGAAGAAAATTCCATGACCCACCTTGGAAGTAGACCCCCTGAAATGAAGTTGGGCAAAATTGGCCCGGATAGTAGCATTAGGGGACGAAAGGACAAAATAAAAATGGGAGGAAAAAAAACTAAAAACTGAGAGTTCACCCAAAAATACCTCATTTACTGTCCTTTGTGTGGTTTTAAACCTTTATGAGTTTCTGTTGAACACAAAAGAAGATATTTTAAAGAATGCTGATTGCTAAAAATACTACAGAAGTCAACGCTACCAGCATTTCTCAAAATATCTTCTTTTATGTTCAACAGAAGACAGAAACTCAAATAGGTATTGAACAAGTGAGCGGTGAGTAAATGATGACATAATTTTAATTTTTGGGTGAACTAACCGTTTAAAAGAAGAAGATGGAGAAAAAAAAAAGAAAGAGGAAGAAAATTCCATGACGTACCTTGGAAGCAGACCCTCTAAAAAGAAATTGGGCTAAATTACCTCACATGGTAGCATTTTGGGACGAAAGGACAAATTAAAAATGTAAAACAATTACTTAAACAGACAGTTAACCCAAAAAATACCTAATTTACTTTATTTTTAAACATTTTCGAGTGTCTGCTAAACACAAAAGAAGATATTTTGAAGAATGCTGGTGGCTAAAAATATAGAACTGGTAGCCAACGCTACCAGCATTCTCCAAATATCTTCTTTTGTGCTCAACGTAAGAAAGAAACTCAAATAGATTTTGAACAAGCGAAGGATGAGTAAATGATGACAGTATGTTTTCATTTCTGGGTGAACTATCCCTTTAAAAGGAAAGGAAAGAAAGGGAGGAACAAGGGGGGACTAGAGTGACTGGAATGATGCTCCGTGATGGGATGCAGTGCCATTTTCAAACTGCACGCCTCACAAATGTTTGGGAACAAAATGAACAAAAATGACTTTGTTTTTTTGTACTATTTTGTCGCCTCGCAGCCCCCCCGCCGACTAAAGAATCAGAAATCTCAGCCCGTTATAAATTTCACACCCCACCGAGTGTGCTCGATAGAACGTCAAGAGAAATGAGACTAAAATACATCTCCGCCTCTTAAACAGTTTTAGTGCATTAGTATTTTCAAATAGCGGGCCCCAAGGTCAGCGTATACCGCTGCGGCCCCCTGCTGACGACCTAAAATACAGTCTTTATTCACAGTCACACTCGCTGCACTTCTGCAAACATGGATCTAGCTGAGGAGAGATTACAGGATATTATCGATGAGCTGAGGGTTTACAGACGTTAGATCAACATCCTCGCAAATTCAGACTTTAGCAGCTCGTTTGTTTTCTAAGAACAGACTGCCACAAATCTGAAATTTGGAAGGATTATTGCTGAAGCTCAAGGAGAAATCAAACTGGACTTCTGTCTTTAAATTAAAAAGTGCATTACACGTGGCAAATTATAGAAAATTATACACTCCTCATCTACAGCACATTTTTTTTTCTTTTTTTAAATATTTCCCAAATGATGTTTAACAGAGCAAGGAAATTTCCATAGTATGTCTGATAATATTTTTTCTTCTGGAGAAAGTCTTATTTGTTTTATTTCGGCTAGAATAAAAGCAGTTTTAAATTTTTTAATCACCATTTTAAGGTCAAAATTATTAGCCTCTTTAAGCTATATATTTTTTGATAGTCTAGCAGTGGTTCCTAACCTTTTTTTGCCTGAGACCCCCCTTTTCCCCTGGAAAATATTATAAATAATACAATTTTATAAAGTAATAATATAATAATAATATTATAAAGTTCCCCCTTCCACATTTAATGATATTATCACTCATATAAGTTTGCAGTTATGATGACAAAAAAATGTTGTTCTCAAACAAACAGTATGTTTATTACTATATCTAGATACGTTTATGCACAAATAATAGCCTAATGTAAAATATAAAAGCGAAACATCAATAGGCCATTTGTAATTAAAAACGTAAGCCTTTGGCCTTTAAATTGGCCCTATTTGACATTCAGTAACTAAAATATCAGTATTCACACTGATGTATAAGGGGAAAAGATATATAGACTATTAGAATTTAATACTTGCACGTTATTTGTTATGCTCTGCTAATTAGTGTGAGGATTGCTGTGAGGCGAATCAGTGCAACTGTCTTTTGTGGAGAACGTATTACAAAAGTGTGTGTGTGTGTGTGTGTGTGTGTGTTGGGGGTGGGGGGGTCGTAGGTTGTAGGTTGCTAGGCGACCATCAACCATTTTTCCCAGAGAAATGTGTATGACAAGCTGACAAAACACTGCTGTTACTCTGATACAAGTTTTATCTATTAAAAAAATTACAAAGCACTGAAGTGTACGGGTGTTCTGTATTTTTCTGAGAAAACTAATCTTACCGAAATATGAATTTTCATTCACTTTGAATGGGTGACGTCAAGCGTTGCTGAACTGCATTGTGGATCTGTCAGCGCCGCTTCAAAGGTGTTGCTCGTTGCAGAAGTTGGGACTTGCTCAACTTTAAGCGAAGACGGAAGCGTCAGCCAATCAGATCGCTGTATGCAAATAGACCAGCTAAACAGTGGCCTATTGCTGACTGAATTTCATTGGCTGACGCTGCAATAACAATCGCGTCAGCCCCAACTTCAGACACGCCTTCAGTCAAGCGTTGACGCTGAAGCCCCGTGTGAATAGGGCGTCATTGGCGCGAGTGCACCGCGCACCTCTATTGGAAACAGCAAACTTGTGCAGACTAGAAATAGGTGATATGCGAACGGCCCAGTTTGTGATCTTTAGCAGTTGATCATCTTGCAGAGCCATGCTGTATTCACCTGATTTGTTGACAAATGGGTGGGAAACCATACCTTGGCAGTTCGTGGGTCCTTCACTGGGTCTTTTCCCCTGAGCAAAGACACTTTCCAAAGACGTCTGTTTCTTACTAATTTTGCTACTTGTGGGTTAGTAAGCAAACGTACGGTTATTTTTCAAAATAAAAGACTTTTCAAAATATAAGATCGTTTAGAAGCAGATAATAAAATGGAAATAATAAATGATTTCTTGTGCGGCCTGGTACCAATTGATCCACGGACCGGTGGTTGAGAACCACCAAGCTAGGGGATAAAGTGAACTAAGGCAACATGATCATTCTCTTTCTAATTGTCCACTGCTAAGAAATGTTTAAAATATGATGCGACCAACCACATAGCTCGCTGAGGCCCCCTTGTGGGCCGGGACCCCCCTGTTGGGAACCACTGGTCAACAGAACAAACCATTGTTATACAATAACTTGCCTAATTACCCTAACCTGCCTAGTTAACTTAATTAACCTTCTGTAGTTAAGCCTTTAAATGTCACGTTAAGCTGTATAGAAATGTGTTAAAAAATATCTAGTCAAATATTATTTACTGTCATCATGGCAAAGATAAAAGAAATCAGTTATTAGAAATGAGTTATTAAAACTATTATCCTTAGAAATCCAATTATTTATTTATTTACATGATTTATATATGATATTAGAATCTGTGTTAGCTTTTTAAAGTTATTTTAAGTTTTAGAATAGAATGTGTAATGTTCTCAATAATATTTGTAAAGGGAAACAGGCCGTATATGTGGCGTTTACATATACTTCAATTAATATGGAAAACAAGTGCTTGTTTTTACCAAAACTAGTATTAATTTTTTTAAAATACATTTCCGTATAAATAAATATATTATGCACAAAGAAATTCTGGGGTTCTTCTCTAAAGATGTTGTTACTTCACCCCGTTTTGAGCATCATTATGGGCATTTTACATTATAACTAACATGGTTCAAACAATACATCTGTGACAGAGAAACCAGGGGTTTTGGGAAACACTCATCACTACATCGTTCTTTTAACAAACAATGCGTCTTACTATGATAGTTCAGCCGCGAGTTAAGTTGTTGTTTGGGAAACGAATCGCCTTTAAATTTGAGCTAATTAAATTAGCAATGCATATTACTGTCACACAACCAGCGATCGCTGGTTCTCACACGAACTCTCAGCACTACACTTTCGCATTCCCCAGGACTACACATTCATACATGCACTTCTTCCAAACACGCACGCCTGCTCATTCATCTATCCTGATTGCAATCACCAGCTGAACCTTGTCACAGACTGATATCACACCATTCATAAGCCACTCTTTCACCCTTCCAGTCTTGTTTACCCAGTGTGACATTACAACACGTTTCCCTGTCTTGTTTCTCCGTGCTTGAACCTAGCCTTGTATCCTTGTCATCCTGTATAGCCGTCTGCCTTTCGACCTTTTGCCTGTTTACCGTTTATAATTCTGGACTGTCCTTAATATACCTGCTTGAACCTGATTTGACCACTGCTTGCCTGACGCTGAATAAACCTGCATATTGGATCTTACCTTCTGTTGTGAGTGTCACTCCCCCAAGTCGTTACAATTACTAACCAAAATAAAGTTTTGGACAATTTATAGTACAAAATGTAAATAATACCTTCCTAGAACATGGTCTTAATGTTCTATAAGTGGCATTAATATTTTGACATATTTAATACAATGTAATTTTGGCTATTGTCATGTGAAATGACTAGTTTTGTGGTCCAGGCTCACATTCGTGGCGCTTAATGTGACATATAGTACCATAAAGCACCCCATACATACACATACAACCTATAACCTAGTAAACAATCAGTTCTTGACAATATGACACATTTATAGAAACTATGGATGTTTGAATATCTTACAATTTCCTGAGACTATAATGCAAGTACTGTGATATTTGTGAGGCGTTACACACTCAAACACACAACTCCTCACCAGTTTCTGATCGCTCCCTTTGAAATAAGTCTCCTCGTATGACTCATCGTTTCTGGTCCAGCTGTAGGAAATGAGGTAGCTGATGATGGGCGGATCGTAGGTGATCTCTGGCCGGGACCATCGGACGACCAGTGCAGTCTTATTCATGTGCTGGACGTTCATGTTGATGGGCGCACTGCTGCATGCTGTGTGAAAGACAAAAAAAAAAGAAGAGTGTGTTTAGTTTTTTGCTAACCTTGAGCTCCACTGGTGCCCTTAGATCTCGTAGCCACCAGATGGCTCTATTGGACTTCTGACTGCATTCGCTCTGCTTTCACGTGTCCTGAATTGTGTCATGCCCTCTGTAAACACCAGCAGCATCCAAGTTGCTGTTAATCTCCCCAGCAGAAGGTGTTTAATCACCGAGCGTGCCACAGTTTCTGGCTGCTGACAGCGTGCGTAGGGGTGAGCTTCTATTCGCAGAGAAATCCGAAAAAACAAGCCCTAAATTTTCTTTAGTTTTGCTTTTCCTAAAATGCATGCACACATTTGCACCGCAGACAAACACACGCACACCTCCACACACTCCCTCCCTCCCACAGCCACAGGGGAGCCATTACATTCAAAACAATGCTAATTAAACTAATTCTACCATCACTCCTCTTGCCGAAGCCTCTATTAGCTCTAATCATGAGAGAAGTAATAGTGACTACAGCCGTAATCATACTGCATAAAAAACCCCATGATGACGCCTGCCCTCACACAGATGGCACACATTGATGATTATAGCACAAAAACCCAACTGTGACCTTTGAGGGTGGAAGTCTGTCCTTTCTATATATATATATATATATATATATATATATATATATATATATATATATATATATATATATATATATATATATATATACACACACACACACTTGAAACCAGAAGTATACATACTCTGTATAAAAAAGGCACATAACCATTTAAAAAAAAAGTCGGATGTTAATTTGACTAAACTTTTTCTCTTTTAGGTAAGTTAGGTTTATCAAATTTGTTTCTGTTACGCTTAATAGCAGAATAACGACAAATATATTATTTGAGAAATTGTTATAATTTGTTTCTGTTATGCTTAATAGCAGAATAACGAGAGAGTTATTATTTGAGAAATTGTTATAACTTTTCTTGAAAGTCAAGTTTACGTACAATAAGACTATTATGCCTCTGAAACAGCTCAGATGATAGTGTGAAGGTTTTGGAAGTTTCTTATTGGCTAATTGACAACATTTAGGTTAATTGGCACAGTTAATAAGTTAATAAGGCACAACTGTAGAAAAGTTTTTTAAGAAAACCTCAAAAACACTGCTTCCTTGTGTGACAACATGGGAAAATCACCAAGCCAGAATCAACAAAAAAGCCAGATTACAATTGGCTAAATTACACCGGGAAAAAGAATAATTTTTGGAGATATGTACTGATCTGATGGAACTCAGATTGAACTACTTGAGCATAATGACCAGTGTTACATTTGGAGGACAAAGGGGAAAGCTTACAAACCTAGGAACACCATCCCAACTGTGAAGTATGGGGGTGGCAGCATCATGTTGTGGAGCTGAAAAGAACATTATGTAGAAATACTGAAAGCCACATCTCAAGACGTCAGCCAGGAAATTAAAACTTGGCCACAAATGGGTCTTCCAAACAGACCATGACCCTAAGCCTACTGCCAAATTAGTTAAAATCTGCTTTAAGGACAACAGAGTGAATGTCTTGGAGTGGCCATCACAAAGCCCTGATCTCAATCCTATAGAAAATGTGTGGGCAGAGTTGAAAAAGCTTGTGCGAGCAAGGCAGCCTACAAATTTGACTCAGTTACACCAATTCTGTCAGGAGGAATGCGCCAAAATTCCTTCAAACTATTGTGAGAAGCTTGTGGAAGGATACCCAAAACATTTGACCAAAGCTATACAGTTTAAAAGCAAAACTATATATATATATATATATATATATATATATATATATATATATATATATATATATATATATATACATACAGTTGAAGTCAGAATTATTAGCCCCCCTGAATTATTAGCGCCCGTGTTTATTTTTTTCCCCAATTTCTGTTTAATGGAGGGAAGATTGTTTCAGCACATTTCTAAGCATAATAGTTTTAAAAACCTATTTCTAATAACTGATTTATTTTATCTTTGCCATGATGACAGTAAATAATATTTTACTTGATATTTTTCAAGACACTTCTATACAGCTTAAAGTGACATTTAAAGGCTTAACTGGGTTAATAAGGTGAACTAGGCAAGTTAGAGTAATTAGGCAAGTTATTCTATAATGATGGTTTGTTCTGTACACTATCAAAAAAAAAAAAATTAGCTTAAAGGGGCTAATAATTTTGTCTCAAAAATAGTTTTAAAAAAATTCAAAACTGCTTTTATTCTAGCTAAAATACAACAAATAAGACTTAAAAAGAATAAAATAAGAAAAAGACTTAATAAGAAAAAAATATTATCAGACATAGTGTGAAAATTTCCTTGCTCTGTCAAACATAATTTGGGAAACATTTAAAAAAAGAAAAAAAAATCAAAAGGGGGCTAATAATTCTGACTTCAACTGTATATATATTTTGAGTTTAGGGCTACAGTTAGAGTAGTATCTAACGCAGGTTGACAAAAACATGGATCTGATGCATGTAAGACATCAGGCATCACACATTGCTTTCCAAACTGCAATACTTGTCATTCTCACCATTTTACACATTCTCAACCTCCTCTGCATGGCTGTGCTAAATATTTTTGCTGAATTTAAAATGTTTGAGGAATTCCCAAAAATTACACAAAACAAGCATGATTGTAACATCTTTTCCATTTAAACACAACCGTGAAAAACAGTCCCATCCCCAATCAGAAACCCAGTCGCGGAGGTTTCTGCGCCAGAGTGCAGGTCTCTTATGAGATGCACAGAGAAGCGTTTAATAAAAAAGGCCATCTTTGGCCCTCCGGCTTGTTGACCATAGAGAGCGAGATTAATGGAGGGATATAGCAGGAAAGGAGAGAAGGTGAGAGCAGAAGTCAAATTAGAGATAGAGAAAGTGCAAACACTCCGTTAACCTTGAGCAGCTGTTTCGAAAAAGTTTGAGAAAGCTCCCCCGATATAAAATAATATTGTGAAACTATTCTGTAAAATGTTTGTTTTTTAAAAGATGCAGGTTAGTAAGAACACGAGGGTGAAATAATAAAGACATCGTGTCAATGAGAAACAATGCTTCCCTGGCCTTTTTTGGAGTAGGGTCTGTCTGCAGACTGCAAGACAGGGGCTTAACATGAAGGGGCCTGTGGAAAGAAGCACATCGCGGTCATTCTGCTTTTACTGAATCTTTTGGTTTTGGACATACAGAAATATTATAAACCTTCAGTACATCACGCGATGTCTGCAGAAGCTGTTTTTGGAGGAGACAAGCAGACATTGTCATTGTGCTTGCCCTGGCGAAGTCCTGCTTGTCACACACACACGCATACACGCACGCACAAACACACACACACACACACGCACGCACGCACACACACACACACACACACACACAGGACGATTGACTACAACAGGGGTCTCAAACTCGCGGCCCGCGGGCCATTTGCGGCCCTCAGTGCAATATTTTGTGGCCCGCGCCAACCGCTGTACTCTGACAGAATCAGTGGAGCGGGGAGAGAGAGCGCTCCCCACTGCGCTGATTCTATCCGTACACAGCACGCTTGTCACTCAATGCGCGTTGTCGCGCGCGTTCTGATCAGCTGTGTTGTCGCGCGCGTACTCAAGAGCGGTGTTATCGCACGCCTACTGAAGGGCGGGACCGAGGGTGTGTCGCGTCGCGGGGGCACTTTTGATCATTTTGAAAGGGCACTTTCTATGCAAGACTAAAAAGGGCATGTGCTCTGCACAGGTTGAGCCCTATGTGTGCACGTGCCTGCCCTGCATCTTATATATATTGATATTATAGGTAGATACAGACTGGTACAGACTGATGTGACTGGAGTGGGGTGGGGGTGTTTTATTTATACACATATACGCCTTTTTTTTAGGTGAGGGAATGGAAGTTTGGAGTAAGTTCCCCCACTTTTTTCCCTAGGACTTCAATAAGTCAAAGTACAGGTCTAGACTTAATGATGATCATCTTCAAGCCATACTGAGGGTCTCAACTGCTTCCGCTCTAAAGCCAAATGTGGTTCAGATTTGTGAGAAGAAGCGCTGTCAAGTCTCTGGCAGCAAGAAGTAGGCAAAAGATGCCATGTTCAGAAGAACTGTTCATAATCTTCACTCAATGTTCTATTAATGTTCAGGACACTTCATGTTCAGAAGAAATAATTAAAACTGTTAATAATGACATTTGAGGACTTTTTTTTGTGAAATCCCATATGCGGCCCAGCCTCACCCAGACTTTGCCTCCTGCGGCCCCCAGGTAAATTGAGTTTGAGACCCCTGGACTAGAATGTGACTTAATACACCCAAACCCCCCTGTAATTCGCACCATGACTACAGTACATTAAAGTTTTTAGGATAACTATCCCTTAGCATTAGCATTAGTCAAACAAGAACCGTTCTGATTACTTAAACTTGAAATACTGAATCTTTCCACATAGACAACAACATGCAACACACTCATGTCATGTCATGATCAGATCTCTGCTGTGCTATATTTCAGACTGTTGATAAAACCGATTGGGCTGTTTGGCCCACTGCGCGGGAAAGTTCAGCTATGATCCTGCGCGTGTTGTGAATTAATCTAAGCTGACAAAAAGTTCAGCTCCAGCCTGCAGGCACCATTGATATGCTTCTGTTTTCAGCCTCTATCGCACTATTACTCCACCCTTTCATCCTTTTTTCCCTTATTCCATCCTTTATGTTCCCTTTTATTCTTCGACGACAGCGCTCGGCGTCCACAATCAATTTGGCACGCTGCTGAAATTAAACGCATAACCAGGGAGCGATAAGAGAAGCGTTTCTCTTCTTGTATTACGGTATTATTTCCAAGCAGCCAAATTAATTATATTTCTGATTCAGAATGTGTCACGATGTGTCCTGGTGCAATTCTGGGAATTGAGTTGCATGGATCCAAGTCAACAAAATGATTGGATAGAGGTTAATGGAGAAATTTGGTGGTCAGCTGTCTGGTTTTTTTTCAGCTACTGGTCATTTTGATCTATTTTTTTTT